GTCTATATATCAATTTACGAAGAAAAATATATATGTATTTGTATCAGTTATCTAGTACCCATAGTTTTAGCTAGCTTACATAACTTGGGTTTAGATGGCGCTGTGTGAATTGTTCTGATATTATTATTATTGTCTTTTTTGTCTCATTTTCTCAGCTTTTGCTGGTGTTTTACGCTTTGTGGGGTACACCACCATCTAATGAAAAAGTTTTAGTTTTTTTAAATATTTTCAAAAAAACTAAAACCACAGATAACGTAATATTACGTACTAAAACGAAGTTTAGAAATTATAGAGCTAATAGGTAGATCCTTACGAAAACTGATATTTCATACAATTTAGATGTCATCAATTTGGTCGGAGAGTTAATGTAACCTAGATGTATATAATTGCTCTAAATACATAGTTACAAAATAAGTAGATCAAACTTGGATCAATTAAATTATTGATCGAAATTTATATAAGTAGACTAGTCCTGCTCGTGATCGTAGTTGATGTCTACTGATTATAATTAACCGAACAAAATTTACATTATTATACGACCCCTATTATTATTTTATTAATAAATTAAGTATATAACATAGGCGTAAATTGTGTTATAAATCCTAATTGAAACCCTTTTTTTGGGCTTTCTTTATCCTGTCTGTTGAGACAAATTTAACAACATATTTTGTGATAGTTATATTCAAATTTTATTAGTCGTTTTTATGTTAAATCTTAACGCATAAATATGCAATTCTGTATTAGTCACTATATCACGATTTTTTAATGAAAAGAATAAGGAAGGAAAAGATAATTACATTAGTAAATCACATAATTAAATTAAATTTTACATCTTTTTTATAAAATCCTACTAGAATATGGGTAATAAACCTTACACTTAAGCATCTGGACTCTACCTACGTTCCATAATCCCCTCTTAAGCAATATGACAAGTGTAGCAAGGTTTGTTGCGTGTTCGATGCCGGTCACGTTCCAAACAAGTAGCTCTGTTGTGTAAGTTAGTCCTTTGATGACTGTGCTAATGTAATAATGATTCTATTTTATAATCCCTGTAACACTATTAATAATTGTTATGTGATTTATAGCCACTCAATATGTTTGCAACCTACAGGCATGAAATAACTTTTATTATTTTGCTAACCAAATTAGATTAGAGAGGGTGGGTCGAAAATTTAGTAAAATAGTTGTTACCTGTATTTTATCTGTTTCTTAGATTACTTACAATATTTACTTCAGATCCTTTTACAAGATTAGCCGTGAAAAGGAAACAATCAAACAGACAGACATAGATATACTTTTGCATTTATAATATTTTTTTCCACTTTGGACAATTCACATATGGCAGAACAAAAAGATATATTGAAATACTTTTTTTTTTAGATATTGTACATAAATAAATGGACTGTTTGGAAATCGAAGCATTTGTTTGTAAGTTAGTTTTTTCTTCAAATTTTTGTTTTAAATAAATGTTTTCATAAAAGTCTAATTTTGAAACTGAATTCTTTAAGATCATTTGAACAAATACTACATTAGTATTACATTACTTTTAAAGAAAAATAGCCATATCCTCCTTATTCTCTATATGACTAACTTAAGAGTGGTTCTGCTGATTAGAAAATGAATAGTTAGAACTAAAGAAAAAGTTACAGATGTACATGTTACAGGAGCCATGAGCACCACGCCGGGAGCAGCTCTAGACGCATTATTGGACTTGACGCCCCTTCCTCTATTCATACAGGAAAAGGCGAAAGCCAATATGCTCAGAATAAGTTCCCAAAGGAGGATATCTTGGCATTCCCTGGCCATAAAATCTATACAAGACTCGATTATGAATGATCCTATTCTGGGAATGCCTGAAGACAATATGGCACCAGAGTGTAACTTTGTACAATATTACAAAATCGAAATATCTGGAAGAGACGAATGGCAAAATAACCATACACCGTCTCACTCAGAGCATGACCTAGTCTGGTTTACAGACGGGTCCAAAATAGGAGATGATGTAGGATGTGGAATATGTGGTGTAAAACCCAAAATCTGCAACTATATAGGCTTAGGAAAATACGCCTCAATCTTTCAGGCAGAGACTTACGCCTTAATTAGATGTCTGGAAGTAATCCTAAGCCTCAACTACATCAATCAGAACATATACATTTATTCGGACAGTCAAGCTGCTCTACTAGCACTTAACTCGTACGAAATCCGTTCTAAACTTATTAGAAACTGTATCCTGCTACTAAATGAAGTAGGAAGCAGAAATAATATTATACTGAGATGGGTCCCCGGGCATTCAAATATTGAAGGCAATGAGAATGCCGACCATCTGGCAAAGTTAGGGGCAAAAACCGTCCAACTGGGCCCCGAACCCTTCTGTGGTGTCCCTCAATTCTTGTCCCTGACGGGTCTAGGTAGCGAACTCTGAAAAGGGCGAGCACAATAGATCTATGTAGGTCGCAGTGCTACAGGTGCTACACATCTGACAATAGCCCAAACAACCCAATAAAAAAAAAAAAAAATACAGATGAAAATATAATATATTTCAAGTATATATGATTATTAATTATTGATTTTTTGTTATAGACTTTTAACCAAAATTCTACTTGATAAGTCTATTATCAAGTAGAATTTTGGTTCACAAAAAAAAACTATTGAGAATATTTTTTAAGAGATAAATGGTGAGGGTCAAATTTATAAATATAACCGCTTAACTTTCCAATGGTCGCGGGTTCGAGTGCTCTTACAGATGGCGCTGTGTGAATGGTTCAGAGTTATTATTATTATTATATAAATTACATGATAATATTCATTTGAATAAATATTACTATAAAAATATTTAATAAATTAAAACTAAAATATCTGTGAAATCATTTATATCTACAAAATATTGCCCGAATTTTAAGCAAAAACAAAATTTTTATTTACATTACAAATATATGATATTTGAATATTATTTTTAAGTTAGATTTAGAAGACTCTGGTAGTTTGTTGTAAAACCTTACGCAATTGCCATAAAACGAATTACTCACTTTAGTTAAACGATTGGTTAGACTAAATATTCAGAATATATGCTATTTTATACTGGTAAACATAGTCCGGATGCAGAGTTATGCAAACCCGATCCCGTACCATTTGTGGGCTGACCACTTTCTATGATGCGGATGTGACGTGACTACAAACTGTTGACAACCTCTGTGCAGATTATGAGTCATGTGTATAGATATATACACATGACTCAATATTATAAAGAAGTTATAAGTTTGAATGTTCAGGGTAATCTCCGGAATTAATGATCCGATTTTGAGAATTATTAGATTAATGGATAATACATTTGACTAGGAAGGCTATATATAACGTCACGCTACAACCTTATGAGCGGAGGCAAATGGCAAAGACTATGTACTATTGTGGATGTATTAAATATTATTCGTAATTCAAAACTTGCAAACGTATTTACATCGACTTTTATTTATGGAGTTTCAAAATAAATTTACATAATACGTTTAAGTAATTTGTTCAAGGAATACAATTCGCCATTTTATTAACTTAGTTATTACTTGCAATATATTTCAAATTGAATGAAAATATATATCGTTTAGCAATTCTTTGTGATTTATTTCACAGTTCCGCAGCGACTTATGTATTCACTTCTGTCAAATGGTTCTTGCGTAATTGCAAATCTGCCAGTCTAATTATTTCTAATGAGAATTCATTACAACGGTTTCAATGAAGGAATTATTACTACTACTAGCCTACTAGAATATGATCATGAGGCTTGTGATTGTCTTCAATTTTTTGTTCTATGCATGTACTTCATATTTTAATAATATTCATATTTGAAAATACGTTAAATATTATAAGATTCTTAGATTGTTATTTATTTTATTTATGTCGATTATTGCTTATTTAGTATATAGGTGTTAGGTAGGGTTAGAGTAAAGGATGTCTCAGTTATGAATCAAAACAAGTCAATATAATTCTTCATACATTTTATTACAAAAGGTCGTTCGTAAATAGTTTTTAGTCGACTGCGGTCGAAATAAACTCATATTCATGATCACTAAATATCTACAAATAGAAAAGTCTATATACAAAAGTACACACAGATACCCACACATTTCTCTTCTCACAAAATTTTGAAAGAGATCAATAGGACATGTTTTTATAATATTCTGACTATTGAGATTTTCATGTAGAAAATTATTTTAAATAGGCATGTATAACTAAGCAAATAGGTATTATAAAACAAATATAAAAAGGAAACAAATTTTACAAATAAGGCAAAACTTAAAAAATGCGAAAAAATTTTTTTATCCAAAATACTATATATAAAGAGTTGTATTATTTACTGCGACCATATAAATGTAAATATGTGATATTTACTTTTATATACACACATAGATAGTACTTTTTAATATTATTTGCATATAATTTCTTGTTATAAGTAATTTATTAAAGCTTTTATATTAACAAAGCGTATAAGGTTTGATACTGAACTATATTATATTATTGGTATAATAATAAAATAATGTAGTTTAGTATAAAAACTATACGCTTAAACCCCTTATTCATATAAACTGAAACCTTGTATAAATCCAGTTTTTAATAACATAGGGAGCAAACGAGTTTGAGGCAGTTGAAGGTAAATTGCGGCCTCCCAAGAACATCATAAGGGAAATTGCAGGTTAGATGTCGGCCTATTATGTCACTTTCTTTCTATTAAAAAAAATAGCATGCTGGACAAGTACAAAATAGTACACAATGGATAAAGGAGGTGGTTGATGTTTTTATGAATAAGTGATTTCAATTAGAAGTAGAGCTTCTTGTAAAAATTGATTGCACTTCCCAAATGACACATACCCGTGACTTATATAATAATGGAAGAATAATAACTTCTTGGTCTCAATCATTCTATAACTAATTAACTCTAGATCACATAAGATACGATTGTTTGACTGTGTATAACTTTATGAAAATGCCTATACATGTTTTCACACCATTCGTTTGTTACTAGAGAATTAGGTTAGTGATATAGAATAGTTTCTTACTAATTAAATATACTAATAGCAGAAACTATATATTTCATTAAATTATATAGTCCCTGGTAACCTAAACCCATTACTCCTCTCTCCGCGTCTCCAAACTTAGTAAATTCAGTATAGCATTTCAATGGACTAAAAATAGTCTATGGTGGGCGTAGGTCTTTTAAAAGCCGATTATTAATAATGGCACTAATACCGTACATTCAATGTTTAAATGTACGTGGTGTTTTTAATTTTCGACTTGTAACAAACAAATGAGCTATCCAATTTTGAATTTACCAGATTTTGCCGTGTGCGGATAAGCCTAATCCAGAGAGCCCATGTCCGAGTCCGTGCAAGGAAAGTCCATGGCCTTCGTGGATAAGAGGAGAGGCAATTGCGGGGCTAATTAAAGATTTGATGACAGGCACGGGGACGGGCTGTGCCACTGGAACTGCTACTGGCTTCGGTACAGCGACAGGGTACGGCTGGGGTACGGGAACACCGACCTGGAAATTATAAGAACATCAATGTTATAACAGTACAATATAATAATGACAATGATATAGGTAGGATGATGCATGTAGTGCAAATAAGTCGAAATGTTAAAATTTAATTAAAGTTAAATCTTAATTTCGACAGAGTCCTTTATTTATTATGAAGTTATTAGCGTAAAGACCCGATTAACTGTATTAATGCAGACACTGTAATAGACAATTATATACAGTAATATCTATTATTCATGATTATGTGGAATTTATAAAAGTTTTCTATGGTTAAAATGAAAAAAGAATGGGCTAAAGACATATTTAAAACCAAGGAACCAGAAAAGACTTATATGGAGACAGATGCAAAAAAGTTGATTTTATGAAAGGGGCAGTAAGTACAGTACACAACTGGACTACGATTGCCCAAAACAGGTAGAAACTTAGAAAAAAAAGATTTAGATAGACACGAAAAAATTGGCTGGGAAACAGGTTTATAATAGAATAAATATGAAAATAGAAAATATAAATTAATATCATAAAATTTATAATCAAAAAAGATAAAAGGGCAATTTAAATTAAAGGCATTAAAATATTAAAGGCACTTTCAGTTCTCTTCAAACAACCTAACTTACCTGTTTAATGACCGGTACGGGCACGGCATGAGGAACTGGCACTGGTACGGGCCTGTCGACTGGCACAGCTATGTGCTTCTCCACAGCAACTGGGTATGGTCGTGGCACTGGTACGGCGTAAGGACGATCGACTGGCACTGGGACAGCCACCTGATGTACCAATCAAAATGTGGCAGATAAGCTGAAGGTTAACTGTTACCTATACAGCAATACCGATCAACTCATCGATCATGGTACCCATCATGCAGCCATTCCATTGCAGAGCGCGCAGAGAATTATTTTTTAAATATTGTAAGCCTATATATGTATATTTAGATATATGTAGAATAATTATTATATGTACAACCAATTTAATCAGTCTAAAATAACTACTAACATTAATTGCACGCTAGTAGTTTAATTGACGAATATTTGATTCAATTTAACTTACTGCATCGTTACTTAATTGAGCGCAACTTCGTAAACGCAATGCAAACTACAAAATGAATCTTAGTATCTACCCACGGAAAAGGGACATTACGTACGGTCGAGCGAGTTAATGATCGCACAGCTACATTTTAATATTCTATTAAAACATACTAATGACAACTAATATATCCCAATAATTGGAAAATTTTGTTCTGGACTTGGAACACAATAATGATACTATTAGGTAATCGCTTGTGTCTATCAACACCACACTTCTATTACTTCCGTTACACCTGTCATCTCGTTGTTTGCACTCCATCTGTGTTTAGTATTCCTGAGCTCATATAGAGGGTAACGTGATTTAACTTTCCAGCTTAAGAGTTACCTTTAGATTAAATAATTGTCTACTGCCCTAAGGTTGAATACTAAATTATAAAAAATATTGTTTTTTATAAACACGTATATTATTATTATTAATACAGTAACTAATTTAACATAATAACGGAAACTATTAAAGTAAAGGCTATCTCGGTGAAACTGCGTACTCTATTTTCAAACAGTTGGGTTGTTGGGTCTTTTTAGTAGTTTTCTGTATAACAAAGGAACTAACCTTTACGGGGTATGGAACAGGCCTATCGACGGCAACCGGATATGGGGCAGGCACAGGCACTCCAACATGTTTCGTCACAGTAGTATGCACGTCAGCACCGACTAATTGCGCGGGGCCAACCAATGCGCCATGCCCAAGAGCGATACCCGATCCGAGTCCGTAACCAGACGCCAGGCCAGAGTACCCGTGACCGAGAATAGGTGCACTGGCAGCGTAGTGGCCGACCAGACCACTCCGTTTTTGTATCACTTTACTTGGCTCGGCTAAAACGGATGCTGTCAGGAATAGGATTGCAATCTGAAAACAAAATTAAGTTTATAATAAACGAAAGGATATTTATTTTGATTGTGAAGATGGTATGAAGCACCCGCTTGTGTTATATTCTGGCTGAGATTCATGGGAAGAACATTAAGTCAGGTTAATCAGTTATTACGTCTCCACCAGGGAGAGCATGAAAATCGGTCTGATACGATCTCTGTTAGCTATGAGGTCACTAGAGCTCCTTCATTAAGAATTACAGGGTGTGAACACATTATATCTAAGTCGTCAGAACTGTATGAGGGGTAAGCCGAACTTGCGACCAACCTGCATAAAAAAATTAAAGGTCAAGCAAGAATTGTACTAATTAAAAGCATAAGGATTGTATATACATTTATTGGCCACTTTTATTTTAAATTAAGTATCAAAAGAAACTGAAAATAATTTTCAACTATATTTATAAAGTAACTAGTACAATAGCATCGACGATATTAAAATTTTATTAGATTTTAGACCGCGTTAGTCATACCACAGATAACATAATATTACATAGTCATACTAACGCGGTCTTATCATAGTTTTAAATTTAGAATTTAATTTAAATTTGGAATTGATCTATTAGCATTTTTCAAGATTGATTGAAGTGAAATTGAAATCATATACTGCTTATCGTTGTCCAAACTTTAGGCTGGCACGTAAAGTCTGCATTCATTTATGTAGACAATGCATTCAAAAATACTTTTACCCGTTACGTGTTACGAGTTCATCGTATTGTTTGATATGCAAGGGGTCGCGAAATCGAAATTGTGTTCGTGATATGTGTGCTAAGCAGTCAGTTAGGCAGTATTATGGCTATTATGACACGATTTGTTTATTTTGTACGCAATTAGATGTACAGTCCATTAAATTAAAAAATGCGCTCTTGTACAGTCATATAAATAAATATGTATACATATAATATTTATTATTATTAATTTGTATGATTTCATTAGTAATAATTATATATAATAAACTCGTTTTCATATGCAATTAGTTGGCGAGGGAGCTATAAATATAAATATATAAATTTGTGCTTTAGTCCACAAGATTATGTTTTTATGAAGCTAAATATAAATAAATTTTTTGTAGGTTAATATTATTTGATCCAATACGGGTAATAAGAAGAAAACCTAAAAAGAAATAGATAAGTTGTTTATTGTACAAATTTAAAGTAATTGTTGTGGTAGCATAATTTCATTAGATGATTATTATTTAAACGTACAATGAATTGTTACTAAATTAGAGGTGGTACTTTGGTATCTGGTATATGGTATTTGTTTACATTTTTAGTATCGAAATTTCATATCCTTTCATATCCATCATTATACTTATCGATTAACGAGACTACCATAGTTTATAAGTGGGCATTAGTTGTCTATACATATATGTAAATAAAATTGGAGTGTCTGTTTGTAATACTGAAATAACAGTTTTTTACTACATGCATATGAATATAAATAAGGTACATACATACACCAATTATAACATTTTTTACAATTATTGCCTGTCTGTCTGTTTGTTCCGCCTAATCATTGAAGTGGCTAGACCGATTTAGACGGAACTTTTATTTTAGAAAAATAAAGTGAAATTCCACGCGGACCAAGTTGCGGTTACAGCTAGTAATAAATATATCGGATAGAGGTAGCCTCTGATCCGAGCTAGTAAGAGAGAGTATAACCTTAGTAAACCTTAACACAAAACATTAAACTTAATATTAATTAAGCAAAGTCTAAATTTATAAATTCTCTTTAAACTTTTGGAAGTTTCTATTCATCTTAATTTTAGTGTTGCCTATACGAAATTATAAGAAATTAATAGATTTAAAACGTCTAATTAAACCGCACTTACTGAGTAAAACCTATTTATTAGTTAAGCTCTACTCTTTCGCAGCTGAATTGCTTCTCAAGCTACAATGAATTTAGTCATAATAAATGTAGTTGATACTTGTTTATTGATATCTATTATTGTTATTTAAAACATTTTTTTTATTATCCTTATTTATAAAGTCTATATGTAACAGTTTATTTATTATTCGATATCTATATATAATGACTTAATTGATATTTCTCAAAAATATTCTATTATTGTAATATTTCCTACATAATAATGGTTTATTATCATCTAATAATTTTTAATTTTTTCCAAAATTATTTAAATTCACTTACGTAAACCCTCATATTGCTAAACAATAGCACAGACTGCACTTTACAATGAAACTTATGTATTATATAGAACGGTACACTATAATTATAGTAATATGGAGAATAAAGGACCGTTAACGGTAGCGATCACAGGGTATATGTGACTGAGTTTGTAGGTAACGACTTATATAATGCCGACTGTACCCCACTATGGCGAAGGATTTGACTCACACTTGAATTCGCAACAGATTTGTATACAGTGGGGTAGTGGGTATCTAGGTTGTTCAGGGAAATTGGGATTGTGCTAGAATTATCTTTCTTAGCCTTATCCGTGCGCTAAATGCTAAGTTAACGGTAATGACAATGGTTTTACAGTGTGTTTGGTAATATTTTGTGACCACTAAATAGTATATATTCAGTTAGTTTCGTGTTTTAAACATCATTAAAAAAATATTTACTCCAAGTACAAAAATCTTATACGTGGCAGATAAATGTAGTAGTCATATATACATATAATATAATGAAAAAATATGTTGCTTGTATTGTATTCAAGCTATATTATATTACATAATCAAGTCTTTTATTCAACACTTTTACGAAATTTTAACCTTATATATATTTCTTCCATTGATTATATATACTTCTAATTCATCTATTTAACTCACTTTTTATGTTCAATATTTAAAGTCAATAATATCATCGTCAAGAATTCCTTTTTTTTTAAGTGGCCCCACTGAAAATCAGCGCTACAGTGACATACTGCGACACCAGCTGAGTGGAGGCTCTTTTAGCTCACAACGAAATATATTTTCTTTAATTTTATGAGCATGTAATTTGTATATGTTACATGTAACATGCGTGTTTTATACATTAAATTTACTATGTTTATTTAGAGGTTGCTTCCACATAATTTATATCCTTATTAAGTGTATTTGTTGTACATTAGAGTACGTCGATTTTTTAATTATAGCTTGAGTAGGATATTGTATTTTGACGTATAGTAATGAGTATACAATAAGTATAATATAATACTATTATATATGATATTTATAGTAGCTAATTCTTTCCATCCTCCTCCAACACCACATTTCAAAAAATGATTTAAAATGAAACATGATATAAGTTTTTATTACGTAAAAGGTATTTTTTGTTGTTAAATGCTTTTTTATTAATAATTTTCCTGGTGATTAGACTGCCCAGATATTTGAATGTGTTATAGTTGAGTCAATGAGTATAATATAATATTATTATATATAATATTTATAAGTTATTAATAAAATTGTTGATGTTTTGAAAAAGAAGAAAAATATACAATATTTTATTTCCGTTACAGATTTCTAAATAAATCAATGTATTTTAATAAACATATTTTAATAAACTAATAGTTTATAACATTGCATATTATTAGATTTATCCCATAAGTATTTCCCACGAGGAATACCTGTGGGATAATTAAAAAATAACTCACTTTTAGACAGAAACTCTAATACTGAAATACTATTTGAGGTATATTTAGTTTATATAATATTATTAAATAGACATTTGTACCAGATTCCTATAAAATTCTCATGGTATAATCATGGTGAAAAGTATAAAGCACGTTGGAATTGTTGTTTTGATGTGATATTTACTGTCCTATTGAACTATTGCCATTTTGCACATGGGCATGTTCTTTTGTAGGCCATAACCGGTTCAAATAAGACGTATAATAGAAATCCAATTGTAAACATAAGTTTATTCATTAGTCGTTTAAGAAATATTGATACATATAAACATGTGATATGTATTGATACTTGTAAAACATTACATTAAATCTTTGGTCCTAATTAACTATCAACGTACCACCAAAACTAGAGACTACAAAGCAAAATTTTTTCACAATTATTTTATAATGTAAGCATAAGTAAAATACACATTAATAAAGGTTTATAAAAATCAGTGTCACACAAATAATAAAAAAACAACTTAATTTAAAAAAAGCGACGTGCTATCATTAGTTGTTGATAACATAATTAAAATAAGAATATTCTTACTGACTAATATGACATGCAATATATCGGAATATCATAATAGTCTTAGACGCTGTGAGTTCGGTGATATTACAATTAAGTACTTGTACATAATTTTTCAAAAAAAAAATGTGGGGAGCAGCTCATGTTAGCTAATGAAAACTTAGAAAAATAGTGATGAAACCAGACAAACTATGAAATTCACTGTTTCCTCGGCTTTGATAAAATTACAGTCTCGATAACTCATTGCTGGGAGTCGTCCACGAGTTCTCAAAAAAAGAGTCTCGAGTCTTTATTATAGTCTAACTTAACATTCGATGTGTCTACAGTTTGTGTAGTAGGTGTATTAAAGTCCAATGTGACAAGATGAGAGCTTCACCTCACCTTACACGTTCACCTTTCATGCAAGTTAGCGGTTTGCTTTTAACGAATATTTCATCTACATAAGGATACGTAAATTATATAAATTGGCCGAAAATAAAGTTCGTAGTACTATGTAATATTATGTTATCTGTGGTAGTACTATAGTATGAAAATTATTACCATTTTGCTTGGGTATTGTGAGTTTTTTTATATCAATGGGGACAAACGAGCTTATGGCTGACCTGATAGTGACTGATTACCCATGAGTATTTAGCACCCGCTACACTAGAGGAATTGCAAGTGCGTTGCCGATTTTTAAGAAGGAATTAACTCTTTTATTGAAGTTTTCAATATAGTATCGGTTCGAAAGCATCATTGTTGGAAGGTGATTCCATAGTGTGGTAGTGCGTGGCAAAAAGTTTCTGGAAAAAAGCACTGTAGACTGAAAACACCGCGCCATCCACCAGAAACTAAAATTCTGGCGGGTGGTGCGGTAGTGAAACTCAGCAGCTGGTGTTAATCCAAACAATTCCTCAGAACACTCACCGTGATATGAATTATATTACTATTTATTATAAGGGTAAGTTTGCGAAAATGAATGTTTGTTACTATTTCCCATAGAACATACCGGAAGTATTCAAATGACATTTAGTAAACAGATAGATCTTATCCTAAAAGAGGGTTATTAAGCAATATGTTTTACAGTTAATTTTTATAAAAATTTTAGACGTAGAATCTAATATGTAGGTTCTAATTAACCGAATAACATTCCAACGTGGTGCGTGGTTCTATTCCCGTAACAGGTGGATGCTACCACCTCACTGCAAACGTGGACATTGACGATAAACAAAGAGATAGTAAAGTAATGATATAGAGTAAACACAAAATTGGAAGAGCTATAGCGCGTTAGGTAAATCGGAGAGGCTATATGCATGTAGGTGTTTTGTTCAAAAAACTGTTGAAACAATGATTGAAATTGTGATAGATTGAAGCAGGGTTCGAATCCCTAGCATACCCTCAGATCAAAGTCGTATCCCTCAGGCAGAAGCTGGCCTTTAACCATTCTAAAAATGAGTCTTCTGTACTAGCTAGAAGAACAAAATAATTCTTTGGAGTGCTCTATTGAATCTATATTTGCAATTAACAGTTTCCAATAAATGCACTTCTGTTTCGTAAATCATTAAATTTGTGCGGTATGTAAATGTTGGAAAGATTGCGACAAGACAGGCGAATTGACTTTGTTATTATAGGCTCTAAGGCAGGAAAGGTAGGATGTTTGTCAGACCGGTATTATAGATAGATACCCTTCTTGCGTAATTCCAGTATAAATTTAAACTAGTTACCTACTTGTATTTGTCATTAAAATCTAGGCTAATTTATAGAATTCCATTAAATGGATTCTCTGCCTATTACAACACCACTAATAATTTTATCTGGTTCTATACATATAATAAAAATGTATCTGATCGCTGTCTGTACATGGAAGATATATGCGCAAAACTATTATTGGGGAACTAATCTGTTTTGTATGGATGATAATGATGAAGATGATTGAATGGTGCACCCGCCTACGCTAATAATAAAAGTTTACGCTGGTGAGGCACCAGTGGAAGTTGATAAGATGAGCATGAGGTCAGGTCAGTTAGCCCACCATGACAAATTCACAAGGAATTTATCACGATGGTTTCCAGGAGGAACCGCATAGTGGTCAACCTGACATGGTACATTGTGCTAGTAATAGGGTCGTGAGTCCACATTACTAACAATCCCCCCCCCCCCCCATTGGGGGACTGTTAATCGAACCCAAAACAATGTTCATTTTGTATTTGTAAGTCTGGTCATACGTCATAAGTCATACATACATATGTGTTTATCAATTTCATTAACGGCTTAACCAATTTAGATGTGGTTTTTAGTAATATATCATGATACTACAACTTAAAATTTAATGTTTGTTTTATTATAATCGGTTTACAGAAATGAAAGATATAAACTACTGTTTTTTCGAATAATAGAGCACACGAATAAGAAGTCGCTAGCTTAATAAGTTTCTAAATATTTTCGATTGATTCAGTAACAATAGCAATATACAGAATATAAAAGTTTTCACAATATTTTGAAAAGTCAATAGGATATATAGTAAGAAATAGTAGTTATCTGTATAAAGTACTACACTACTAATAAAACTACAATTCTTAAGTTAATTAAATATGTTATTGCGATGACAATAACAATTTATTTAATTAAATTAATTATATTAATGTTTTTTTTTATCTGTGACTACATTAAGAAAATAACCTTAATATTCTAATACATAAAAATTAAATCGATTTGCTGCCATTCACTGTGGTGTCCATGATAGCTCTCACTAAAGACAAATGGAGATTTATTTTGACTATTCTCCAACTTATTTAAGTTTAAACATTTAAACTTAAATAAGTTCATCTTTAATAAGTTCAAGTCATTATTTTGTGTCACTATATGTTATTTTGATATATAAGCTATACACTGTAAAGACTCATCATTCGTTCAGTAGTTTTTGCGCAAAAGAGTAACAAATATCAATCTATACTCATAAACTTTTGCGTTTATATAAAGCGGCGTCACTATGATTGTCTAGGATAATCTCCGGAACTGAAAAGATTTTTTTTATTTGGTTTTCATTATGATTACATCAATATTACAGGTATAAAAAACTTGCATCTACAGTGAAATTAAATGCAATGTCGATACGAGCCATTCAGATGCAGCATTACTCAATTTAAGGATTTCGTGGTTAGTATTTAAACACAAAACTGTCCGCCGGCCGGTTATGCAACAGTGAGTAACGTGCACGAGATTCGAAATGGCCCTTAGTAAAGTGAGTTCCATAAAATACAGTGACTGCTTCAATACTAATTTCAACCAATTCTAAGTTCTCATTATTTTCTGTATTGTGTTATTACCTAAAATATTGAGAACTATCTAAATCGCGATGCGCTTTTTTCAAATAAGCTAAACAATTGTTTAGCTGAAAAATTCTTATATATTTTTATATTATTTTATTTTTATATTTTTATAAATTCTTATATACGTTCTATGCTATGTTAATCATAGGGCTTAATTTCATTATTATTTTTTTATTTATTTACATATATACATACATACATATATATATCAAAATTTTTATATCCAACAATAATAATGAACCCTTTTTAAATAAAATAAAAGGAAAGAAAAAAGCTTTTAAAGTAATAACAATATTCTATAAACTGTCGATTGTTATCCAAGATGAAGTAATCATAGGTACTTTCAACTGCCGACATTGTGGTCACCACAACACTTGACATGTACACATTTAACCATTTTTTAATTTAATGTAACAGGAGGCGAACTGCAATCGCACTTCATATAGTAGGTTGGTTTGATATCGTTGAATTTCGTGAAATTTATTAAATGTTTAATTATGTTGAAAATATGTTGAAAAGTAAAGTAATCAAATGTGATAAAATGTCATAGATAAATAAATGTCATAATTATATATATTTAGTCGTCGTATCAATAAAACAGTATAACTTACTACTCGTATAAGACTATATAGATCTATCTCAATATATAACCACGTCATCAGAGATTTACATTCAGTCATTGTAGATTTGATAAAACAATAACTTTAAGACAATATAGATTTGTCTCAATTGAATATTAAGTAGGTACGTATTATTGATGTCTATATTTTCTACATAAATAACAATAAGTTTAATGATTTCGAAAAGTATTTAAAAAAATATAGATATTTAAAGACAACTGGTACCTTAATAACGTGCTGCCTAGTTTAGCGAGTAGTTAATATAACCCTTGCATCACTGTGACATCGGAGTTACTGTTAGATCTCAGATAGCCACTGTTGCGAAGCGGGCAACGGTTACAGGTACCTACAACCTGTTCATTTTAAAGAATAGCCACATTTTTATTTACACTAGTGGTTTTTTTATATCATGAAGGTGTCATCAAGCACTCTATCATCTGTTTCCTACTATATCTTCAAGACTAAGATTTTACCACGAAGGACTAACTGACCTGACCTCATGCTCATCTTATCATCCTCCAGTGATGTTCCGCCAGCGTAAACCTTAAGTGCAGGAGGGTGCACCATTCCATTATTATCCATAAGAAAAAAACCTGTATATATTTGCCGTAATAATAATATTTATGAGCTTCCGATGTTTTGAAGCTGTTAAAAATTTCTTGTTTTACCCGTCATACATCACGTAAGTATTGGGTGCAATAAAATAAATTTATCGTGGTAAAATTCCTGTTTATACTATATATATTATAACAACTGAATAAAGAAATATCACAGAAATAACTATATATATAAGATTATTATACCTTATTTCCAAATATTGTGTGCCAAATGTTAAAATACTTTATAGAGCCGTTGTGACAAATTTTAACAAAGTATATTGAAATGTCAGTAATATCTAAAAATACCTAATGCCTAACTATTTCGCAATCTACTTCCAGATTAGTTGAATATTGACTAATTAAAGTTAGAACTAACTATAAACAAAACGGTTCGAAAGGGACAATCGTTCCCACAGCGTCTTAGTTCTAGATTATTTGATATCTACTATTAAATGATATATATTAACACAAATTATTAAATAAAATTGATCTCTATTTAATTGTGTTATGATACATTTTAGATTAAGAACACAAGATTTATTGACAGACCAAGAATGCCTCGACGCTCTACTTTTCATAACATCATGGCAGTATAGTTTTAGTTCCAAGGACATGTTCTATATTACGTTTGTATGGTGCCTAATAGATTGTGTTACATATAGAATTGGAAAATTATCTGAGGAAGTATATTTCAATTGCTATAAATTGTATTTTACTTTTAGAAGAGAAATGAAATGAGAATTTAATTCCAAAAAGAACTAAGAAAAGTTAAATGAAACTGTCAAAAAAATAGAATAATATCAAATTTCAGATTTGCTATGACATTATATATCTAAAGCATATTTTTGCCTGAAATATCGGTAATACATTGGTAATTTCTCTGGTGTTGCATAATAGTATTATATTACTTACTAATATCGTAATATTTACTTATCTGTACATAAGCACGAATGTTATAATATTAACTACAACATTCGATAAATCTGTTGTGTGTTAGCACAAAATTGTATCAATTTATTCATTAGTTTACTTTAATTTTTACATTGTACGGAGACATGACCTTAGACATAAGAAATGTTGGCGTGATGTGATTTTTTACGCCACCATTTCTTATGTCTAAGGTGATACTTTACCAGTCCAGACCAGGCACTCTATCAGTTGGGTCACCAGCAGTTGACATACCAAAAATATAGAAAATCAATTTGCCATACTAACTCAATTTGGAACTTTTAAATATTTTTAATCTATTTAAATTCTGACGAGAACTTAAATTACCATAATATTATGTAAAATGGTAATTAAAAATTTTATCAACTGTTACAGTTCTAGATTTGGATTGATTATAAAAACCTGTTTGATAAGTGGCTTCATCAGCGTGTATGTCTGAAAATGGGTTTACGGCATGTAGGGTATGCGTAGTTAACAGCTCTAAGTAACACCATAACGTGTTCACCATGCCTTGTCGCCTTGGCTAAGGACTCAGTGGGTTACTAGTAAATGTTTAAAATATTGTTTCTATGTAGGTATTTACTTGCCACATACCTTGAAATATAATTTCCAAAGTTATTTTTTGTATGAAAAAAAAATTATACGAATTGAGACCGTAAAGGAGAGAGCCATTTCGGTAATCATGAATACTATTTATGACAAAGCAAATCAACGTAAAATATCAAAATAATTGTACTATTATATTTCGAATGCATTTTATATATTAACTCGTTGTTTTAAACTTATTTTAAATTGACGCGGCCATTGTTTATACCGGATGTTTTAGGAGACGTTTTATTTATCATCAATAATAACTACCTGTTTCTCCTAATTTCGTTTACCTTTTTTAATCCTCGGTAAATAATTTATTTTTATGCCGTTTGTTTGAATAGACAGACAGATGTACTAACGAATTTATTACGTATATTTTAGTACGGCTTATAGTTTTCTTTTCACATATAAATATCTTCAAATTGGTTGTAGTTGAAAATCAGTGTTTTGCTCTCAGCACAATATCTCCACTGAACTAACGACCTTTTTGTATTTGCTGCAGTTTACAGATAATGAAACAGATTTATTTCATGTTAATCTTAAGTTGGATGATAGTTGGATAATATATAACGTATATAGTTTTCTATATTTATAGAAGCGTAACAAACATATAAACGGTAATTACATCTAGGTAGTAGGTGAACTCAAAATAGGATTTGTATATATATATTTAGGCGTATACTAAGTTTATTAAATATATAAGACGAAAAAAAAATATTGCAATTTCATATGCACAGACTTTCATCTCTTATACCCTATCTCTCAGAGGCTGACTTTTACCTGATTGTATTTTTAAACAGAATTTTAATGTCAATTTTCGATAATATCCGTTCAGCCATTTAGTCTTGATAAGGTGTTACCTTTTTTTCGTTTCATTCTATCAAACAGATGGAAATATATCTACACACAGACAGGCACTTTCACATATTATGGATAAATATTATCGTAAGTTGGGGTCCTGAAACATAAGATCACGGCGCCGGCGCCGCAGTACTCTCAGTGTTTGAAAGAGGAATAAATTGTGATGAAATTAAATGGAGATCACACTTGGTACATAGTTAACACGTTTCTGGTTCAGTGGCACACGTGTTACAACATGCATTAGAATGCGATCATTGTGAATGAGTAAACTCGACGGGCATATACGGAAGATTCGTTTTATTTAAGTATGTAGGTAACAGTATGTGCTGATTTCAATCATTGCATATTTATAACATTGACCGTCAAATTACTGAAGGTTTTTGTTGATGTACGAAATCTTATACGCTATCGGATATGAGGATAATAGATGAAAATGAAGTCAGGTTACTTAGCCCATCGTAGTAAAACTAGTATCTTTTGATGAAAATCTTTCATAATATTATAAATGCGAAAGTAACTCTATTTGTCTGTCTGTCGCGCTTTCATCCTAAAATTACTAAACCGGTATAAATAAAATTTGATATACAGATTGTCCTGAGAAAGGACATAAGCTACTTTTTAATGAGAAACAATGTTGTAAGAGGTTGAAACAGGGATGAAAGATTGTATGGAAGGACCGTCATTTTTCATGTTTGCTTAAAATTTATTTTTAGGCTGTTAATTAAATATGTAAATATGATATTCAAAGTTATTACAAATGCTAATCCTTTAAGTGGTAAAATAAAATAGAGTACGAAAGTTTGTATAGTTATTCGACATTTCTCGTCTATTCCTAGTCTGTAGTAGACTTTATCACAGTAAAACAATAAAACCTTTTGTCTGTAGTAATAAAGAAAAGTAATAGAGAACGGGAAATATAAATCATAATATAATTTTCACTTGTGGCCCACATAAGGATTGTGATTGAAAAGTAAGTACGAGTACGAGGCAATTGAAGTCTTGGCTCACAGTAGAGACGTTAAGAAAAAGTGAAGAGGGAAATACTTCATCCTTATTAGTAAGAGACAGGGCAACATTCTTTGGAGCAGTGATTCCCAAAGTTAACTACACCGCGACCCACCTAATATGTTTCCAAATTTAGACTAATATCAAGGGCATCTTAAAGAAAAGTCGTTGAAAATTAAGCAGAGAAACAGCGCTGCAGCATTATGCTGAGCACGAACCTATTCAGTGGATGCTTTAATACATACACACGCACACGCACACGTACACGTACGTAACATTTTAATACACTATAAACAATATGGTATAATGTATCTATCTATCAAATACACTTAAAAATACTTTTTTATAATTATTGACTATTGATATTAACTGAGTTATATAGTACAAACGTAACTGAGTAAACGTACTATATAACTCATATAGTTCTATAGTACAAACTTTGCTTGGTTATGCATAAATATTGTGTCTGTTTATATTGGACTAGAACAGTTATACAAACTTTGGTTGGTTTTGCGTAAATATTGTATCTGCGTGGTTTACAATAATACATTTTTTTTGTAAACGTATAAAATACCTATATTCATTATGACTGTACCTATTTAAAAAAACTGTTTTAAAATATTTCTAACTAAACATAGTCAGAATAGTCATCATCAAAATCAACTAGAACATCCAGAAATTTGATGAACTCGATAAGGACGAGTATTATTTGCAAAAATTTGTATTAACGACTGAACACATCACTGGAGCTATATGTGAGAAAGAGCTTAGGAAGTGTTAAGTATAAAATTAAGTCCAGATAAAATCTTAGAAATATATAAAATTATGTGAATGTGCACATTTCGGTGGAAAAATAATTCCCGTGTTTTTATAGTTCTTGATCGTTTGTCCCTTTAAGCTGATAATAAAAATTGGCTACCCTAATCGCGGCATATAGTTTGGGAAGTACTGCCTTAGAGTTATTCGGACTACCTGCACACGTAACTCTGCTTTTCTAATGCCACCATATTACTATATACTTTTTTAACTATGAATTCGTGTAGCGGACTGATGACGTAATGGCACATAATCGACAGAAACCTGTGTATTTATCTAGTGTTTACCATTTATATTTTAACTTAATTGAACTAGCACAGTGATATATTTAATTTGTTTTAGAGAGGGGTTTACTTTTTATTTTGTATATATATAATCAATCAAATTTGTATATATAATCTGTATATAATTATTGGGAAGGCTTTATATTTACTATTACTTTTATTGTATAAATATGGTGTGGTCTCAGTATAGACTGACGGCTGACAGACGACATCTGACTGACAGACTAATAGGGCACCAGTGGAGGCCTGAGACGGTAAGCGTGATAAGTTCAACACTAATTAACCACAACGATTTCCAGGTTAACAAAAAATGCTACATTGTTAACGACCTTTTTGACGACCATCGGTTTAGAACATTCTTTTTCCGTTGGTAGCGGGTTTGATTCCTCGCAGGGTACAAATATTTGTATTCATGAATACCATTGTTTATATCGTCTTGGTGTTTTCTATGTATATTGGGTATCTATTTATAAAAAAAAAGTTTGGTAAGTTTACACTCTTTCCCGAGAAGATAAAAACCGTCGCTCCTAAGAATATGCTTCAATTCTTGTCCCTGACGGGTCTAGGCAGCGTACTCTGAAAACAGGGCGAGCACAATAGACCTTTGTAGGTCGTAGTGCTACAGGCACCTGACAATAGCCCAAACATCCCAATAAAAAAAAATACGGCCCACCTGATGGTAACCGGTGCAATATATGCTACCTGGAGAGCAACACTGATATCTAGTCATCCGTATCTAGTCATGTGACGTACGTGGAACCACTCATGCTATTTTTACTACCATTCCGGAGGATTAAAATGTCATTTAACTGCCTTATCTCACCTTTCAACAGAAACTCATTAAAAATAAGCTATTTGGTGGCTAAAATCGGTGAGACAAAGTCGGCCGATTTCATACAAAAAGTACTTAGCTAAAAAAATACAGCTTTATTGCGAAGAACATGATGACGATATAATTGTTCATAATTATTTAATAATTGATGTAAGTACTGGTACTTGATAAACAATTCAATGAAGTCTATTACGCAATAGCGATCACCTAAGCCACCATATTACGTGTAGGTCTAGACCAGATCTACTTGGATTTATAAATTGCTACCTAGTATTAACTTACAGTAACGAATATGTTATTGAGAAAGTACATTTTAAGAGTTGTTTATACCATCTCATTTCGTACTAGCCCGCGACTTAGTTTTATTAAGATAATTAATAGATAGCCTTTGTCTAATATAATTTTAGTCAAATTCCATAGAGTGACGTAGATGTCAAATATAATGCTAGTTTAGGGGTCGTACACTAATCACGTGACTTTGACATCATTTTGCAATATTCCACAACAGTATTTTGACCAATATCTTAATCACATACATACATACATGATACAGTAGGTAGGTATACTTTAATTTAACTTATTGTAATGTGACTTATTAAACTTATTATAGTTTTGTATATTACAATCATTTGTGGTGTAGATACCACAAAACTATGACCAGCTTGCACACTGTTTCACCTGCACGAAATTTATAGCCCGTATTATTCTGATATAAGCTATTACTGTAAGTTTCATCAAAATCCGTTCAGTTATTTTTGCGTCAAAGAGTGTCAAACATCCATCCATCCATTCTCACAAAGTTTTGCGTATATAATATTAGTAAGTATTAAATATTGTACAGTAGTAGTAGTGTTATAATTCATCAAAATTAAGTAATTTGAATAATTAATTGAAATATTTCTCAGTAAAGAAATAAGTACATTCTGTTTCACACGTATCCTTTTTAACTTAGTCAATTTTAAACTAAAAGAATTCTTTATTTTATTTATTTAATTACTGTGTTATATAAAAATAATTATTATTTAATTAAATTAATTTAAATTATTGAGCGGTATTATCATGCTTATATGAATTCAGGCCGGTTTTCTTTACCAATACAGGCTGTAAACAAACCCCGGTTCCGTACATGGTTCGCTTAGTATGTGTCCTATATGACATTATAAATACCTAACTTTCCTATTCGCTTGCACTTTCTTTCCTCACTTCATCAAGTTAGGTCTAGTCTTATTTATATTTGTTGCAATAAAAATGTTTTGTTTTCGTTGTGTAAGTATTGTTATTTGGTTTTGGTTCACTTTTAGTTTTTAATGATATGTATGTTTGCTTAGATTGTTGATAAGCGTAAAATTATTAAAATATTGATTAATCACTAAAACAATATATGATGAAATAAATCTAAATCGTCGATTTAGAAATAATGAACGTAGTTTATAATATAGTAATGGTAGTTGTTGATATAACATTGTATTAAAGTTGAATTTATTATCTATAGTAAATTACATAACTGGCAATTTATACTTCTCTGAGGAGAAACTTTTTCTAGTACTGACAAGGATAGAAAGAAATTGACAACAATTGGCTCTATAGTTAGTAGCTTACAGTTAAGAATAAGAAATTTCATTATGTGACAAAATATATTATTATGTACAACCTAGTAAGAGAATTAACATGATCATATACAGCTAGCTACAAGTCAACAAAAAGATATGGATATAACAATTAATATGAATTATATTTCATTTCAGATCTTGATATACATTTGCATTCAGCACGCAATTAGTGCCAACCCCATTAAAAGAGAAGTAGACACATTGCAACCTTCACACATTCCGACGCGTCACTCAATATCGGAATATTACCACAGAGTACCAATTGCAGTACCCCAACCGATACCGATCACAGTTCCGCGCCCTGTTCCATATGCGGTTCATGTTGGGGTGCCGGTGGATCAACCAAGGCCAGTAGCAGTGGCTGTACCACATCCAGTAGCCCACATTATACCCCGACCAATCGCAGTGCCGATCGATCGACCATTCCCATATCCAGTTGCGCATCCGGTACCGATAACGGTGACGCAAGGTGTGGGTATTCCTGTTCCGCAACCGTACGCTGTCTCTGTACCGGCTCCGGTACCAATAAGAATACCGCAACCCATTCCAGTTTCGGATGCACAGGTGCAATCACAACCAGTAGTCATTTCACAGTCCGCTGTGACGTCGCAAGCTGCCGTATTGTAGTCCCATCAATATTTTTGCAAATACTTATGTGAAAATGATAAATACAGTAATAGTAATAAAGGGATAATCTAAGCATTTGGTTAAAGTAAATAAAAGAAATGGATTGACAAAACAAAGAATAGAAGTGACGTGATATGGAAATGTTATCCTTATCTGTAATCAATAAAGGCAGATGACGTAATATTTTCTAGATCTAACAGAAGGTGTATTTGCCTGTCATTTGTAGGATATAATTTATCGTAATAATCATAATTCTAGGTTATTAACACTGTATATTTATTAAATTCATTTATTAAGTTTAATGTATAATAGTATAGTTTAATTAATTCTATTAAAGTTTAGTGGTTTTGTTAATATTACTAAAATGCTATGTCACGTTATTTTCATACAAAAAGAGAAAAGTACAAAGAAAAGCTTTATTAATTAATAATTATCTTATAGATTAATACTCCAATGTTTTAAACTACGGTTGTGTATATTACGATACAATAACAATACTATTATATATAATATTCACATATGCAGTATGTATATATATCGTAATACGTAGACATTATAGACATATGTATAAATAAAGCATTATTTCATAAGAAATTGTACATAAGTATTATAGATTAAAAGGTTTTTTTACTTTATGTTTTTGTTAACACTTTTAAATTATGTATACTTATGTAACGTATATAATTTCCTCCCTATAAATAATTAAAATTATTAATGTGGAAATGTATTAAATATATTAAAAGTATATATTTTTTTAATTCTAATTTTTTTATAGTTAAACAACAGATTTATATATACAATTTGTATTACCTATTCATTATGCGAAACCGGTATGTTTAACAATTACTGTAATAATTGTATACAAGAAAATTGATAATGGTCGCAAGAAATAAATATTTATTTTCTTATTTATTGACAAAATTGTATTTAATAGAGTGTATAATTGTGGTTGGTTATATAAACTTATACAAATCAAATAATGAAAAAATATACATTTATATTATATATATCATTAACTAGACTGATACGGATGTAAAATTATAATGTACGACGATGTATTATGTGCAATACGCATTTGTTTTGGACAATTTCTAATTTCAATAATAAATCCTTGATAAAAGCTATTTATCTATATGATTAACACTGGCGTTGATAAAAATGATATCTTTCTTACAGTACTTTGCAAACAGCGAAACACGTAACAATTCAAAGTATGATTTATATTTGTATTGAATAATATTTTGGCGGTTTCTAATTTGTAATAGACTGTTTATTTGTTATTGTTTATTTATTGTTATTTGTGCAAACATTGTGTAACAGAAACAAAGATGAAATCAAGTAAGTAGTTGCTGTATTTTATCGATTGTATAGATTTATTATTATCAAGAGACATTAGTGCTATAAATTATTATGATTACTAGATTTTTATATGTATTTTTGTCTTACATAAACTAATATTGCTACTCGTAGATTAATTTATATACAAAGTACAGGTCTGTATTTTGTGTTCGTTATAGAAACGAAAGTTAATAATTTTTAGCGCCTTAGCAAAACATTTACGCAATGCAGCAATAATGATAATTGATTTGAATTAAAATATTAGGCTGATTATTTGTAACATTTAGTAATAAGTAAATAACGATAATTATATACGTATTTATAGTAGATACCATCTATTAGATACGCAGTTTTGCTGTCTTTATGTATTAAATATATGTAATATTCTCGTTTCTGTTTGTGATTGAATGATATTTACTTGTCATTTATATGATTTATTGGTACAAATTAAATATAATATTATATGTTATAATACCACATAGCAAACAGCCTGTCGGCCTGAAGGCCTGAATTAATTGGCAACTGTTGCCTATAGGTACGGCTTTGTTTACCTTCTGCGCTAAAAAATATACCTACCACAATAGGTAGGTACATGAAAACGATGATTGATATTCAAATCGGTCCGAATTCGATCAATAAATGAGAAAATCGTAACGCTACCGGTGATCAGGTATGAGATAGATGCCACAGTAGATCAGACGGAGGTGCCACACAGACAGCATTATGTGGTAGATTATACTTCGATAAATTCTTATCAATACAGTCATAATAAACAATGCTGTAAATAATGACTTTTATGAATAATCTCTGGTCATACGAAATGACTGCATGACTTTGCATAATTTTCAGGATTTCCCTTGTCGTTAGAAAATATACCGAGGCAGGAGAAGTTCCTTGGCTTATCCCTTAAATTCGGAAGCATCGTTGCGGGACTTCTTGTTATAGTAAGTATCAATATTCTTTTTGATGTTACCCTAATTTATTTGTCACTGTAAGAAATTAAGTTTAAAAACATATATAATTCTTAAGATTGTAAACTGTCCATAAATAACGAACTGAACAATATAACATATTGATCTTCTGTAATTTATAATACATCTAAGTTATGAATCGTCTATGATTAATCTCTCATGTAAACATAAATAATATTAAAATACGAGATATACCCATAATCTGAACTATGTTTGTCGATTTAGTTTCTCTTATTTTTAAATCGAAGTTTACTTTTAATATTAATACTAAAATACTTATCAAAGAACATGTTGCACATGTAGGATCATACACGACTGTTATCTTAGATGGGGTTGTTAGAGACATTTTGAATTGCCGACGTCGTGGTGAACTTAACACTTGATATGCTCACAGTTAACTCTAAATATTTGAATATAAAAATACAGAGAGCAAAATCTTTCGCGCGGTCTCTCAAAATAAATTTTGATGTGCTGGCCTCGATGCTCCAGCGGTTTTGCACACCGCCTTATTTCCGATGGTCGTAGATTTAATTCCTAGCACAATACAAACATTTGTGTTCATGATTGTCTGTAGTAGTCAGGATGTTTCGTATGTATAGAATGTATGCATTTATAAAGGGACTTTATTTATTTGTTATCAGTGTTTCTTTCTCTGGAGAGTCAGTCAGACATTCTTGCTAGGATTGCATTATATTCCCGATCTGTCTATCATTATTCAAGCATTTGATTTCAGCTTGTTTGTTTTGTATGGCACTTGTACAAATTTAATAAATATTCTTTTCTATTTTCAGCTATACTCGTTGCTAACTATAGCAAAATATTCAGTATTTCTGACCGTATTACCACAGTATATGTCCAGTTCGGATGTCGACGATGTTGTGGTATATGTGATATTGCTCGGAAGTACTATATCCCATGCAGTCACTTTGTTCCTGAGCGCTTTGATGCTGGTTGGCGTGTTGAGGGTAATTTTTTTAATATAGTTACACATTTGCACCATAGATTTGATAATATAATTAGTGGTATTTGGTAATTGGTATTCTTACATTATAAGTTAATAATGTAAAGTTACAATAATTATTTAATAGAGCAACACCTAAGCTCCTTGCTCATTATTCTTGTGATAAAATGACACCTTTCCGAATGACTGGTAGATTAAAAAATAAGTACGACTATTTATATGTACTTGGATTGAAGTATTTGAATAAATAATATGATATTTCTAACCAATTCTAGTCTTTACTACTATCCCGTAATAAAATATCACGTGAGCTTAGAAAATTTCGACCTGGATTTTATTACTGCGGTGTTTTTTATGATTCAAAGCATACTTCTATTTGCATTAATTTATCTGGTTTTACACGAGTACAATTTATAAATATCTATATATATGACAGTAGAAGGTATAAAATGAAAGTCACTGTTATTATTTAGAATTTTATTTCTCACATAACAAATTATTTTTCAAATCATTTTTAAGTAATCGTATCATGTTAATTTATGTTTCGATGATAGCAGACACATCAGCTTGTTTGCCATTACCATAAGTCGGTTCCGATGATAAGTGGTATAAGTCACCTATGGCCCATGTTCACATCTATAGACTACGGTTATTACTTTTAATTTTGACATAACTGTTATACTATTAGTTTTAAAGCGATTTCCGATAATAAAAAAAAAATCGCATATCTTTCATACACACTTTTAACAGAGGTAATTTGTATTAAGTCGCATGTTTATGTATGTATCTCAGTATCACCTATTTTAGCCGCAAGTTTGTTTTATAAGCTGTATGTTGTAGGGTTGAAGGGTAGAGACGGAGCAATTAAATTTTAATGAAATTAAATAAAAATCGTAGTTTTCGAAAATGACGACGAATCAGGTGCATCACGTGATAACGTGATGTTCGTGGTGCTATTAATGTATAGACGATAGTTAACACTTACCATCAGAACAGGATTATTTTTTTATGCATGAATGCTTTTTCAGTTGTGTGTAGAAAAAACACACAACTGAAAAAGTAGGAACTACCAGTATCTTGGACATATAACGCGAATTAAAAAATATGGTCTCTTGCAATTAATAATTCAAGGAATAATCCGAAAACCGACGAACACCGGGCAGTGCCGCCCGTCATGGTTAAAGGACTTAAGATTTCGGGATTAGCACTAAATCCCTGTTCAGAACAGCGTGGACAAAGTTAAAGTCGCCATGATGAGCGCCAATCTCCAGTAGTAAAAAAATAACAAATGTTCTTACTATTTACAGGAAAAAGACCACCTGATGAGACCTTGGGTGATATGGGTGTCAATTCAAGTCATTGTCTCACTAGTTCTGTTTGTCTTTTGGAGCACCATGAGTATGATCAATAACTTTGCTGACAACTCTCTATTAGCGTACATATTTGAATTAATAATTATATGTGAGTATAATAATATAGAAATATTATTAATTTATTTTCTGTTTAATGATCGTGATGGAAAAAATGTTTTGTTTGATGGCAAAATAAGAGATGGTGCTAGACTGGTATCTGAAATATATTTATGCTAAGTATAATCTTAACTTAAACAGTTAACAATGTACTAACTATCATAATGACATAAGACTGTTATGCTATATGCATATAGTCTTTAAAGTATTTCGTTAACTTTATATTCGTTAGAATGAGAGCTTGTGCTATATTCGTTTGAATAGATGAACTATGTAGAATTTTTAGCGCCATGTAATTTATAATAATAAAGCCTTGGGCAATTAGCGCAGCGCCATCTAGTCCCAAGTTCCAATAACTTGTGTCATGGATACTTGACATAAATTCTTAGATATTTTTTTGTTAGTATATACATAATATAGTTATAGAACATACAGACCGATACAAACAATCATACTCATGAATATCAATGTTTGTATCATGTGACGAATCGAATCCGCGACCATCTGCAGTAACGCGGTATGTTAAACAGCTAGACCACCGAGGCCATTATTAAAGGTTAACAATATAATGTAATTTATATGCTCATATTATATGAAATGTTCTTGTTTTGTATATGTTTTCCGTTATTTTTTATAAACATTGCTTGTAGTAGATAGATAGTACCTATACTATAAAGAATTTAATATATTAAGGTTGAAATAGTGGTCTTATCGTTAAAGCAACTTCTTCCAGAAACTTTTAGGTACCAAAAAAATAGAGTATCGTTAATTATTATAAATTATTTTTATCTTTTTTCCAGTGGGACGTGTCTACACTTTAAGTCTAGTAGGCAGCTATTACAAACTTCTAGAAGAAGAGCGGGAAGAAGCAGAGCGTTTAAATAAACTTTTAGATAATAATAATTCATGTTACTCTACTGTATAATCAATTACATGAATGACAATATAAGTTATTGTTTTACTTCAGAAATAATATACTTACCATACTGATATACTTTCAATATCCAATAATTCACTAATAATCACAGAAAACAGAAGTAACCTGTTCTATGATAACAATAACAATAATAATAATTTTACCTCCATAAATTAGACACAGATTTTAACATATCCCATTTTACTTTAAATGGTGTAAATAAAGAACACTCAGAAGTTACAAATAAATCTGCAAATATGTTATGTAGCCATATAGTAGCAACTTACGCAATCAATATTTTGGTCTGTGTGGATTTTCATTCATTTCATTTCAGTGTCGCTTATTTTAGCTATAAAATAAGCAAAATATTAGTAGCTTAAGTAGCTTGCTTTGTAAGGTGTGTTTCTGTTGAAGAGTGTGATTAGGCAATGAAATCAGAGCCTACGAAGCATGGCTTATAGTATGAGTCCTCTGGAATGTTGACGCATGAGTGCTATCACGGGTGTGGCAACATGATAACCGAAGTTCTGTTCATATATAGAGGCACCGGTTACTGATTACCATCAGGTGAGCTCTCAGCTAATTTGTTTTCCATTCTAAACACATAAACTAAACTAGAAACGATAAGCTTAACGGTTTGTTTCTGGGTCGTATTGATAAATCCAGGATTCATCACCTGTAACGATGTCTTAAACACGCCGAGACGAGCCTGCTTCAAATTTATCTTTCATATCATGGTACCATTCCACCCTTGCCTGCTTCTGAACAACGATGAGATTATGCGGCACCCAGCGTGATCCTATCTTCCGCACCAGTAGATACACGTGTAGAATCTCGTGAAAGTTTCCTGATCCAATCTGCAGTATAAGCTGAATCTCTTGGTATGTAACTTGTCTATTATCTTAGATCGAATTTGTCCCTGCTAGCACGTTTTCTTTCGTATCAGCCGTCAAAGGGCAACCACTTAGAAACGATAGCTTAAAAATATGTTATTAAATTAAATTCTAGGTGATGTAAATAACTTTATTGCTATAAATCTTTAAAAAACACGATAATGATAATGCATTTATCGATAATGGTAATGCATCTGTTCTTAAGCAATAGACAAACTAACATTGTCATTATTTATCGATATTGTTGACGAGAATAAATATTAAACGAGAATAATTGATTTAGGTATATCACATTAGAGATTAGATTGAAGATCACTAATTTTTATATTAGATATCTAGGTGTCGATCATAGTGATGCGACTCCTGAATGACGACCCTTGGACCCTTTAATAGTAATTTTATTTCATTTTAATATTAAGTTTTTAATGTTAATACAAATTTTTGGTACAATATTTACATATAAGAGTTTTTGTATAGATAGAAAAAATATATGCCACACTTTATTTACAACTCACTTACTCTATAAATTATTTTATTTGCCCAACAATAATATATTTATAAACATAAATAACATGACAATAAGATCGATATCAACCTATATTAGGGATCAAATGCATCTAATGAAGTACAAGTATGAATTAGAAATTTCTACAGTTCTTACAGAAATTACATTTATTGTTCTAAATTAGTTTGGTACCCAGCGAACATTAAAATGCTTTTAAAAATACATACTATTTGGTATTTCCTTTCGATATAATATTACATAAATACTTCTTACATGTAAGATGTGCGAGAAATTTATGCTACTACCTATAAATGACCTACCTAAAAAATAATACAAATAAAGACATTGAATTTGTATATTATATAATTTGTATATAATATTTTGCACTTTTCATAATGAAATTTTGAAATACTATTCAATACAAACAGTGCGTGTGTACATTGTGGTTTTTATCAAGCACTATCCCTGTTTTACGTCATAAGATATAAATTTTTATATATCATATTTATTCAGCTGCGTCCGTACACTATACTATACATATATAGTGTGCATACGTAAAGACAGTACGATGAGAATTTGGCTCATGATTTTGTCACTTTTTATATGTTGATGCGTCTCATTAAATAATCAGTAAAGTGACTAAAAATTATTTCATATTGACTACGCTTTTATTATGTGACTTTGTGGACTGAGCGACAATCTGCAATTAATGATAATGATTTCACGGTAGTTGGTTTTACCGAGGCTACAGCATATTCATTGTATACCTAGGGTAAATACTCTAGGACTACAAAATACCATGCACATCAATACTATAAATTATATTCCTAGGCTGATTATAGAAATTTTATTTAATATACTATAATATTTTTATATAGTTGTTATTAAAGAATTAATTTGGCAGTAACAGACAAAAAAGGTCGAATTATTAATTAAAATTATTTGATTGACTGATTTACATTATATATTAGTAAACAGAATAAAAATGGCTATTATGTAATTAGGTATAGGACTGTATTGCATACAATATTGCTCAGAAAATGGATGACTACGAAAGGTGAAATAAGAAATATAAAATTAGTATAAATTAAAAAATCTTTGTTATGTACTTGTATTAAATATGAGATAGAAACAGCAATAAAGTGACATCTACTAACATATAGATTAATTTGACATATACAATATTAACAAATATATACATCTAATATTAATATAAATCCGTGATGTATATACTTATTGTCTACTTACTGTCTTTTCTATTCTTGTCTACAAACTTGAAATTACAAGTTTGTAGAGTAACAAAGCACAAATCTTTATCATTGAATATTTTGATTATTTGACAATCTATGAGAGACAAAGATAGAGGACGCTGCATCTAAATTTATATGAAAACCAACTACAACTACATACAGGCACTACCATCTACATTATAATATCATAATCCATCCTAAAGTCATTGAAGGCTTTAGAATAGTTTTTAGAATTAAGAGCTTTTAGAATTATTAGGATATATTTATTGACGCCCAATACTATATCTGTTTTGTTACAAAGACTATTTACTGATAATCTCTCTCAATATCATCTCACTTATTGTTATGTGAGTGTTTATTTTATTTACACCATTACCTAATAGTAAAACATAGACAACCTACTAATAAACATAGATATACCCAGATTAGAAGGAGGTAAACCTTTACAGTTATATAATTAATTTCTCTATTATATTATATAGTAGATTACTTGAATTTAAACATGTATACTTATTAGCGCAAATACTTATGCTACTACTTTTTGTAATAAATAATCTATCCATATTATATGATTTGTTTCATTAAATAAGTAATGAAAAGTGACAATATTGCGTAATTTTTAATTGATATAACACAACAATTAGCATTTGGAGTATTGTTGTAATTGATATATACTGGGCGGAAGAGAAGTTCTTAGTAATGTAGACGAATAACCCTGTCTGCTAACACTGTTAAGTTGACCTCCACACTTTTAGCATGGATACCATCAGGATAAATCCCTGACCTACTCCACTGGTGTCTCGACAACGTAAACCGTTAGCGCAGGTGGGCCCATCACTTCATTGTTATCCATTAAAATAATATATATACTTAATATTGTTTTTTATAGCCTAAATAAAAGATAATTTATTAGTGATCCGTCCGATAATTTATTAGTGGTTTGGTCGGGAGGTTTATTTGAGAATATTTTTGTATTATTAAAATAGCCCATGTAATATATGTGTGTTGTCAACGATTTAGTTAAATATATTACAAACAATACAAACAAAATGTTCTACCTACTTGAGCATACTCATATTATTTTTAAATTAATTTAATTCATTTGCGTCAGCAAGTCAAGATAGCGTCATATCGTTTACTAGAATAGAATATTGTGTTTCGTATACGCAGCTTATTAAACATCATCGTAGTTAATAAGTGTCGATATGCAAAGAAATATGAAGTAATGATTTATTTTATGTTGTCTGTCGTTGGAACAAAATTAAATATGCTTTGTTATATACCTTTAGTGGTATTTGAACAGTATTGACAATTGCAATGGTTTTTTTTGTAAAAAATACAGTTTTACAACATGTAACTGTTACAACATGAGACTAATTATGATAAATATTTCATTACCAAATAATAAAAATATTTTTATTGTAATTTAATTTATCTTAACGGAAATATTTACAACTTTAGCCGAGTGGATACAGCATACTTTACATCATTACTCGGTCATAAATAAATTACTATAGATAGGTGAAAGAATTATCAAAATTTATCAAGTGTTTTTTGTATTTATCAAATTATAAACAAATAAATAAACATTTAAAAAATTCCCTTTTATAGTAATCAATACAGATAAGGACTACTTTATTCAAATAAGCTTCTAATAACAGTTTGGTACAGTAGCTATGAGTCAATCCGTGTAACTAACTTTCTTTGCGCGAATTTTTTCCGTGTCTTGCATCATGCGAAATGTAGATAATCTGTATCTACGTAAGCATACAGAAAAAAAAGACCAATAAAAATACTCAGTGCATATAACCCTAGCAGGTATTGCATTGCAATAAAGCTATATAACTTATACTATTTAGTTCTAGATGTAGCTATGATAGATGTTGAATAGTCGGATGGTTACACTGGATCCCTATCACGTGTGTATTTGATAGTACCATCTCTATCCATCTTCATAATTGAACTGTAGATGAGTATCGCCAAGTAGATTTGTAATGCTGAAAAAAAAGGAAAATAATATATTTAATAATTTAAAAAAAAATTTTTGTTTAAATTTAAATACTGAGTAATTTCGTTATGGTACTTTGATAGGTAATACAAAAAAAAGATCAGCTGCCTTTGAAATCATCAGATTTTTTTAAGATAAAGATATTTTTCATCCAGAACTGTTCAACCGTATAACCGAGAAAAGGTAAACTTTGAGAGACAGACGGATTGAAACACCGCACATTCTCCTTTACAAAATAGTACGGAAATACTATATAAATATTTGTAAAAGTTACGAAAATGTGCAATGTACACACAATATTGTTACAATAAATTTAATACGTAGGTGTTAAAATACTTACTAAATTCAAACAGCATTAAAAACAGTTCATTGGCGCTCTCTTCTGAGATGCAAACAATACTGTAGACGAATCCGACGATTGAGTAGATGATTTCAAAATATAGAAATACCCTCATTAACAGCACGTGTTTCTGAAGAAGAGATGCATAGAATTACAAAATGTAAATTTATTAGATACACGGCATAGATTGGTGTGCTCTCTGCACACCAATCAAAGATTAAATAATTCGTGCCGCCAAGCTTATTTTTTAAGTTTTTTTTATACTACGCTAGTGGCAATAAGCTGATGGTAGCGGCCCATCTGATGGTATTGTTTTTATTTTAATTTATCTTCAATTTATGGAATGGGCTATCAACGCTAACTGTATATACCAGCAAAGAATGATAGGATGAGGACAAAATCAGGTCAGTGAACCCATCGTGATGAATTCATCAGCAATTAACTGCTATCACAAGCTCTGCTTATCTTTAGACTAGATGTCACTATATGATTATTGTTCAAGGTTTTTTTATATAATTTATTCATTTAAATAATACAAACAGCATTATTTGACTTACCCGATGTAAAGCCACAATGAACATGATGGTCATACATATCTCGACGACCTGAGCTGTTGTGGCTATAATTAGCCGGGGATATTCAGCGTTGAGCTCTTTCATATTTGCATTGCGCATCGTCGATATATACAGAGACAGCATCGTTATGGCAACCAGCGTTAGTGTCTGTAACATGTAGTTAAAGAACATCAATATCAATACAAAATTCTATTAGAAAATACATACGAACTGTTACTAATTATTAGTTAAAACCAGCATATAGTTATATGTTGGTGGTTTTCCTTGGAAGAAATAGCGTAATTAAAAACCGCATCAAAATGCATGACAACAAACAAATAGGTATGTAGACAATCAGACAGATGAAAACAGCATTTTGATGTATATACTGTTTGTCTATTATACCATTAAGAACCTTAGAAAAAAATATACTGAAGTGCTGTTATGGTCATAATAGAAACTAATATACTAATACTCGTACCTATAATATAGAAATGCAAAAATAATTTTAATTTAATATAGCAGTTAATCATTTTATTTTTAACAAAAGGTGTCAACTTTTGATTTTCTTTGGTTCTATTTCGACGAAAATCTATATTTTAGGTTTTGCTTTCCAAGTTTAATTTACATATTCAGAGGAAACATATATTATATTTTTGTTTTCGTTAACGATGTAAATGCTTTATGGGTTGGATGAAAGGTATACAGCTAAAGTGCATATATTGAAATAGATGTGTAGTGGGCTAAGAATGGACGAGATAGTATATTGGAAGAAGTATGAAAGTAGCACCACCAGCAGACAAGTTAAAAAATAAATGCTTGTTTTGGTATGGGCATATACGAGTATATACCTATTACAAGAAATAAACCTCGGAGCGTACTTTGGTCGCCCAATTGCTAAATATAATATATTAGCTGTAACTAAAATGATAAATAGACATGATAATTATAATGTTTCTTTGTTATATTGCAGCGTTTTTATGAAATAAGTCTGTACTTACCAAATTTATATATGCAAAGGCTATGAGGCCTTTTCTCATGGGAAAACAGAAACAGCATCTTGTCAAGATGGGGATTTCCACAGCGTTTTTAATTTTATCTCTGTAACAAGGATGTTATCTCTTAAAAAGAAACATCGTGAGCTATCTAAATACTGTACTGCTATGTAAAAAATATATGTTGTGTAAAAAATTATCAAGCAATAAATTTACTGACAATATCCGCTCATTAGGTATTCATTATATTAGTTATTTATCATATGTCTACTCCCCTTCCCAGTATAGTACAAAGATCACAAAGGATGTGAAGTGATAATATACTGCGTGCATTGTCACCAACCTCACAATTTATCTGAAATTCCGCTCTTCCGAAAACTATTGAACAAAAATACAAGTATTTTTGTTTTCACTGTAGTTTCCGGTATAAAATGAAGATATTAATTTAGAAGCTTTAATATCTGGTCAAAATCATCCCGTAATTCTCAAAAGTATAAAGTGAATGTTTTATAAATAATAAATATGTGATTAAGTCATGATATAGATACATGCATCATAAATGAATTTAGAGTGTAAAATTTTGTGTTTGCTATTTAAATTAGGAGTAACAAAAATTTCTAGAATTGTAATTCTCTTAAGTACATCTATAATATAGATATACATAACAATCACACACAAATTATACTAATTAGATGACTAATAATGAAGCTTATCACAGTTTTTGGAAATAATCTGATCTCGGAATTACAAACAGATGTTTCATCATTGCGATGCGACTGGCAGGATTAAGATAATTTGCAAAATTACCACTTTATATACCAAGAATTTTTTGGTATCTTGACAGGCGAGACAACAGATATTTATACATATGTCATACATATGTCTATTTGTTATATACACTAGTCTTCTTAGATGAAGAAGACTAGTGTGTATAATAAATAGATAGATACGTTTATTTACTCATTTAGTTGACTTCACTTTTATCTTACCGAAAGAACTCCATTTATTTACACGAAGTAGGTGAAGATGTCACCAAAACATCAAGTTTATACCTATTATTATTTTTGGAAGAATTTATAATATTGGTCTCAGTTTTGTATATTTGATTATTATTGTTTTCTTTTGTGGAACATAATGTAGATACTTATTACGAAACAGGTATTCTCAGTTATTCTAGTTAAGGTAAAGGTGTTACATAAACACACAGCAAAGTGAGTAAACTAACTATGCACACAACACATCTATAAAATAACGCAAAAACACGATACGTCTGAGAACTTAAAACAATTATCTTGTGCAACCGCACACTTGTATTATAATACAATTTCACAATAATAAACCTACGTTTTGAAGTAGAAATAAACAAAACAGACAAGACATAAATTAATAGTAATATAAGTAAGGATAATGACAGACAACCTAGTGAGGTAGACTTTATATAAAGTCATTTACGTGGGTACAAGCAGCAACAACTTATTCTGTATTGGAGGATAACATTATCATCATCTGCTTCTTCCTTATCCCATTTATTTCGGGTCAGCATAATATGTATTTTCTTCCATTCATCCCTGTTGGCAGTGATCTCGTTATTTACTTACTTTCTTACCATATCATCTTTCACACAGTCCGTCCATCTCTTTTTTGGTCTTCCTCTGCCCTTATAACCATTCACATTCATATGTAACACTTTCCGTAGGATATGATCGTTATTATGCATTACATGTCCATACCACGATATACGATTACTCTTTAGCCTGTCCGACATTGGCGCCACTTTCATACTTCCTCTAATGTATTCATTCTTTATCTTATTTATTCTCATTTCTGTCCATTCTTATCCATTCGCATTTCAGTTGCATGCAGTCGTCTTTCACCCGTCGCCTTTACTTTATGTCATATACATATACATAATATGAGAGTGACATTACAGGGTACGGTAGCACGAGTCATACATCCTAGGCGTCTGGAATGGTAACGCGTGAAGCGTATACATGATCTGTCTCTCTATGTCATTGACTTTGTAAAATAGCAACGCAGTTTTGCAGATATATGGATACATTATGTTTAAAAGGTAAATAAGCAGCATGTTTTTATCAGGAGATAACATTGTTATCATTGCTCTTAAACAGGTTTTAAGCAAGATAAAGTAGTGGCATCATTAAAAATTAATCTTTCAAAACAAATTTTGAGACTCGAGGATTTATAAAAGTAAACAAAGAAAGTTGTGTCTATTGTTAACAAATATCTTCTTTGGTTTAGAAATATTTCTTTAACATCAGAGATGTTAGAAAGAAAGTAGGTGACTAGGTGACTACTGTAACAGTAGTAAGAAAAGATATAAAAAATTATCACTATATTTAGTTATATTTTATTTTTTTCTACATATGTGGTAAAAGCTTTTGGCAGATACAGTGTGTTTACTAGTAAAATAATCGTCACTAATATTGGTACATTTCTTACAAAGACAGACAACTCGCTAAGAACGCAGAGTAAGCATTGTGCTAAACTGCTTTATCTCTGAGACGTGTTTACCATTACATGATTTCAATTTATTTTTATTTTTGTTTCTTAGTCATAAAAACGTTCTCTTATTTGTTATCATTCCTGAGGACTAAGGTATAATTAATAATTTTACTGCCAACTACATATAAAAATACTCTTACAAATAGAAACACAATTTCCAAAGCTATGTTTGGCGACCAAAACAGATGACACAGATGGCTACGTATTAATTTATTTCTAGAGATGTTTGGAAGCGTGCGAAAAAGGCCTAAAGCCCAGCAATTGGACACTAAATACATTTAAAAAAATATTGGATTCTTAATTTAAAATAAGTTGTTTGTGAAAATATTCCTGGAAATCACTCTATCTGTTCAATATATTCACGGTTCAAGACGTTTTATGTCATAAACATGATAGGTTAACAGTTCATCAGTGTCATAACTCATAACATCGTTAGGTATTTAATATGGACAACATATTATTCACCTAACGGATCTAACCGATTGTACGATAAGAAGAAAAAATCCTATAGGAATTTACATACATATAATAGAACAAATATAGTATTATCAATATTATTGTATGGTTCCACAGGTCATACAGCTACCGAAACAATGAATTTAATGCTAACCATATTTCCTGATCGCATAATTTAACGAAATTCAGCTGTCAAGTGGCCAGCTCGATCGCTTTTAAACTTCGAATATCATTTTAGTTATATTTTTAACACATTGGATATTTTATGTTATGTTAAACACAGAGTCAATATGAAGCCAGCTATAAATCGACATTAACAAGGAGTACTATGTTAATAACCAGTCACTTTTAGTAATGAGGACTTCATTACTAAAAATCCCCTTTCCACCATAATGATGGTAGTACAAGCTATACTTAGCTTAAGACTAGACATTGTTGTTATTCCTTCTTATTAAAGTTTTCTGTATGTGAAGAAATCAATTTTTTTTTTTTAATTTTGTTATGTTGTTAATAATGTTTCGAGTCTAATATATTTTTTTATTCATATATACATGTAGACGTGGGTAGCACGTAGATACATGTATAAGAGTTTATTGTTGTCATTGTTAATTACAAACTTTGAATAACGTATACAATAACTTTTTGCTATACACTACGTACATCTGGGAGGCATGACCATGCTCACTCAGTCAAGATAATCATGCAACCACAGCAATGAAGTAATAACACGGTTCGGTTTGATAAAATTATAAGCCCAAATCTGTTGTAATATGTTTCGTTGTTTTAACAAAATAAAAATATAACCATCAGCAAACATTTTTTATTATATACATAATGTACTAGCGACAAATGTCGGATGGATGTAGAGTGAAGGTGTTTTTAAGTTTTAGCCACAATATTTAGTCATTTGATACGTGTTACGAGAGGCCAATAGAAGAAGAATTTGGTTTTATTTTCTTCCCGAAGAACTACAAGTGAAGAAAAGAAGACGCGGCTTAGTACTGTAAGATGAGGTATGATTTGACCGTCTGTTGAATATAAAGACTGATTCTCCTTCTGACTACACATAGATCTCATAACTGCACACAAGATTTATAATATAAACCTTCCAAAAAAAAATCTTAAATGATATTACCAACCGTATCAAAATTCGTTGTGTGGTGTAGAAGAAGTAAACGAAGAAATTGATAGACGAAAACAGCAATTGTTTCTTACTATAGTATTTGCAGGTTTAGGTCAATAAACACTATATATAATTACAAAACATTATAAAACAAAACTTTTAGACGGGAAAAACAAACAACTATAAGGGTAAAAATTGTGTTAATTTAAAAGATTTTTATTGTTTTAGTAAAAGATGAAAATTGAAATCTTTATTTTTTTACCGTGTAGTAAACACAAACAATTGCCGTCACAAGATAACAAACAGCCATCTATTTTAATTATCAGCATGTCTTATTATAATTATTATAATCATACATCCTCATTGCATTATAACGATAACTAACCAGTCTTTATATATATATGTTCACAAACTTACGTAAATGTATATATAGATTTAAATACAATCGTTGCAAAACTTTTAACAAATTAATTCTTACAAGCAGATTTTATTATCGACCTTTAATTTCTATCTATCTCATCGAAGACACATGGTACAATTGTGTATCGTATACATATATGTCTGATAACATCAGTTATAGAACGCATCAGAATTGGAGTACTTAAATCTACATAAAAAACTAGGGGCCCGTCCCGGCATCACACGAGTGGAGGTATCTCTGATTTTTTTTAGTAATACTCAGGAATAATGAAGGATACTAATTGGTTCTTAAAATAATTTTTGAAACCAATACTAAGTTTCTTCATTCGTTACAAAAATAGAAATCTTTCCTGCTTATAATATTAGTGTAGATAACTAAAGCCAAAGGCTTTGTTTCTGTACTCTCTATTTTCGAAACTTTTAATCACATTGAAATAATTTTATTGTTTTTATAGCCTAACATTTGAGTAGGTTTATAGGCTATAGGAATAGGAAATGCTAAGCGAAACAAGAATTATCACGGGCGGGGGTGCGTTACGATCGGTGCGGTCGCCATTTCATTCAAATTAGACTGAATTCCAAAT